GTGCTGAGGGGGGCGCAGCCCCGCGGGACGCCTCAGGGGCCGGGGGGTGTGCCCTGAGCCCCGAGCGGGAAGCCCAGGCGCGGGTGTCGCACCTCCCTTGGCCTGTGCCCGGCTTTCTGGTGATGAGGTGATTGGAAGAACCGAGAATTCCGAGTCAGTGGCCAGAGGGGCTGTCGAGCAGGTATTCGTTCGTGCAGCGCTGGGAGCACACGGGGATGTTTCCCCAGGGTGTGTTTGCCCTGGCTCTGTCTTTGTCCTGGCTGTATGCACTCACCGCATACGTACTTACTGCATTTCCCCGAAATAAGTATTGTGTCTCCTCCTAGTCTAGGAGCTGCTTACGTACGCATTTCACTTTCCATTATGCAGTCTTTATCGCCGTCTGCTGTTAGTTCTTGCTTTGACTTGTCTTTGTGGTTGGGGGCTGCCTCTGGTGGTCGATTACTTCATCACTCCTCTTCCTCTTCTGTCCTTTAGACGACCTTCTTGTTATTTGGCAGCTTTTGTAGATCAGAACCAGTTGCAGCTTGCTGCAGGCCGTAAAGTTCTGCACCAACTGTGTGAATTCGGTTCTGTTGAAGCGATTTGAATTTATGAATGTGTATGCACGAGTTCAGTTGCATTAACTGTGTTAAATGTGTGATGACACTGGGCTTTACTTGGTCTGGTACACAGCGTTTTCTAGTGGGAATGACACGGGAGGCTGGTAATGCTTCAGTTGGTGATTCACAGAGCAATACGTGTTAATATGTTCTATCTTGTTACACAGTGTTAAAACAAAATGTCATCATCATCGCAGTCATCCTCATCTTTACCTGTAGATAGCTGCACTGCTTCTTTATTGGACTTCAATCTTCAGGAAAAGGTTCCTCCTTATGCCACAGAGGCAAGTTCATTCTGTTCCTGTTAAGCTTGATTTTATGTTTTTGCTTCCTGTTGTTAACAAAATTCAGAATGGGTATTTCAAAACATACTTCCTAGCTACAGATGGAAAGTAAGTGATATTTCAAAAAATGGGTGAGTGCTGGACATAAAAATGGTACACAGAAACTAGGAAAAAATTCGTAATTTTTCTTTTCTGCTTACACAGATGGGCTAGGATAAAGGAAACGTGGTGTTTAATCTTCCAAGATGCTATTTTCCCTGGAAGTAATTAAATTCAAGGACTTAGTTTTTGACTATATAACCAAAAAAAGCTATAGAGACCTGCATTGTCTTACACATGTTAAGGTCTACCAGGAAATGTAAGCCTGTAATAAAACAAGATGCGTAAATAAATTTATAGAAAATAAAAAACTTTAGACATTTAGAGTCATTTATCTTATGGCAACCATTGGAAGCAGGGCAGTCTACATTCTGACTCTGTGAGGAGTGATCTTTTTAGTTGGGAACTTCCCAAAATCACTGCTGTGAAACGTGATATAAGTGTCTGAGCAGGATTTGACCTCCACCTTCACTGGAGGTAAACTGTTGGCCATGTCGATTAGGTGCGCTCTTTGAGCGATCACTTTGAGGGTACATCCTGTGATATCACGGACGTATAGCCATGTTACAAGTCATAAATGAGGGATTTCTTTGATCTTTAAAATTTCTCCTGACTGATTCCCCTGAAGAGCTGACTCACTTTATGTTGATATACTTGAATTAGCAAGGTCAGCGTCCTGACTGTGAGTGACACTAAACGTTACGTAATCATGAGCGCTATTTCAGAGTAAAACATATGTGCCACCTGGAGAAGCAGAACTCCTTTCACTGGTTGAGCCATATAAAAAAGGATTATCACAGAACTGCAAAAGCCATGCAAGATGGAAAATATTTTATTTCATCTAGGCAAAGAAACTTACAGTCTAGAACACCAAGAAAATATGTAAGGCATAAATATTGCACCAATGCCAATGTACATTTCTTAAATTAACATTTAGGCTTATCATTTTCTTTAATGGACGTATTGGGAAGATTTTTTGTTATGTCCTGTGCACTAAGAAAGTTCCTGCAGAGTTGGAAAGAATTTGGCTGGCTATGTGTTTTAAAACGGGACGTGGATCACAGTGAATTCCTGTTTAAAAGTAACATCATATGGAACTTGCACAGAAACCTGACAGAGTGAAGAATGTAGATTTCTTTTGAAATTAAATGTGATTTGTCGTTGCTGACTTTCTTGGCTTTCTTTTGGAAGTCGTAAAGCTAACCTTTTCTTCTTGCAAGCTAGTATCAACAAGATAGGTGTTTATTCTGAACTTTAAAAAAAATTAAAGATAATAGTGATCTTCAGTTTTTCATAGACAATGCTAGCTGTCTTATAGCATAGAGGCTTTTTGTCGATCGTTAGAAAGACAATTTCCTGAGAATGAAAAGATGGTATGAATAATTTAGGTTTCTGGTCACTTCTCAATTTTGGAAAGTCTTCTGAGCACTTCTCTTTTTGCTGATAAATTAATGGAGTCACAAAACATCATTCCTATTTTTTACTGATAACAGATGTGACTCAGTGTAGTCAGGAAAGGATAGGACTAGTCCTGAATGCATTATTTATAAGTTTGCAGTGCATGCAGAGGTAGAAACTTGACTGCAGAACTGAGGTTCATGTACTGACACTACATATAAACATGGGTTAAAAATTACAGAATATTCTGAGAAATTACATGCAGGCCAGGATAAGAAGAATGCTTTGCAAGAACTTGTAGTAAAACTTGTTGCTAGACTTTCCACCTTGAGGCAGTGGGTTTATCCTCTCACTAGTGAAGTTAAAATGCTTAGGATTTACAAACTGAAAGTCTCACAAAGTCTATTTTTTTTAAAAAAATTTACAAACTGAAAGTCTCACAAAGTCTATTTTTAAAAAAAAAATAGGAAGTTACCCCCCTCCCAAAATCAGACGTGAAAATGAGAAGTTTAGCTGAAAATACTATAGACACATAAATGCTTTTGGATTTGTAGTAACAGTCAATGTAGGCTGCTTTCTGTGATGTACAAAGGCTTCTACTATTTTACTGTGTATTTAAATAACACTTAAGTATTTATGAAAGTATTTATGATAAAGTCCTTTTAGCTAAAATAAAGAAATTAATGCATGGAATGACATGTTTTCTTCAGCTATGAAGTTCTATGCACAAAATAAACTGAATCTTTAGGTTTTAAACCACAAGCTCTAAGCAGCTTGTGAATATGCAAGCTGTTACATTCATATATTCCAAATCTGAAAATGTAGCATATTACATGTACTAAATTCAACCTTTGAAAAAATGCTAGATCAATTATAATGGAAGATTTTTTTTTTAATATTTCCTGCTTCTTTCTTGCAGTTAAGGAGTAAAAACATTGATTCTTTGATGCAGAAGTTAAATGAAAATGAAACCCAAAATACTGTAAGTAGATTGACATTTCTGTCACTTTTTGTTCTATGCTGTACATGTTCTGTGTACATGTATGTCATGGCATCATACAATTTCAAGTGACAGTGGCAAAATGGGAGCATTTGGGGTTTATCATCACAAAATGGAATCTTAGTTTTACAGCTGCAGTGTTCATAAGTGTGCATTACTGTTGCATTGTTGTGTACAGACATTAAAATAATTTCTTTTTTTTTTTCCCATGAAGAATCTCAGGAGAAAAATACTTGAAAGGGAGAAATATGTTAAAGAACTTTCGTCCAAGCTTCAGCTTGAAAAAGTGAGTAACCAGTTCGGGTGGCATGAATGTGTTCTCCCAGTGTACTAGACTCTTATTTACAAATTTTAAATTTTGAGAAAAGCAATTATTTCAGAGATCTATGAAGAAAAATGGAAAATCATGAAAGATGTTTCCCACAGAAATAACTTAAAACAATTTTAAATTTTGAGAAAAGCAATTATTTCAAAGATCTATGAAGAAAAATGGAAAATCATGGAAGATGTTTCCCACAGAAATAACTTAAAAGCATCAAGACTGTATCCAAATCTATTAGGGATACAAGTTATCCTTAACACTAATGTCCCACAATTCAGGGAGGGGCATACGTCTGTACTAAGGGCTTTTGCTCCTCATTTACAGAATTGCAGTAGTTTTGGTGAAAAAAAAATACTTAAAAAGAAGTAATACAGAGTAAACTGACCAGATGATGTTCACAGTTAGTTTCCATAGCTCTTTGAGCTCAATGTTTTTAAAGATAGTGCTGACAGCGGAGCTACTATCATCAGAGGCTGACAAGACCTGCGTTGTGGTTCAGTGTTAGTGAGGGGACAGAGTGGGTTCAGTTCAGCCTTTAAGGAGACAACGGTGTATTTTGATTTTTGTAACTCCTTGGGATTCGTTTAGAGCCATGTGTCCTGTTTAAGAATTTTTCTTTGCTTAACCAAGAGAACATATCACGTGGCTGCAGGATAAAATTAGCCAGCCAATTATCCGAGTCTGCCTTTTTTTACTGGTATCTACAGAGAACACTTGCGCGGGTACATTACAGTGCTCTTCTAGTCTATACTGATAACATGACTTCCTTCTACCCATTTTCATTATTTCTTAGTTATAATGTGACAAAGGAATCAAGCTGGAGGAAATTTCATGTAGTCGTCTGACCTCAGTTCTCATGGCAGAAGTTTCCTCTCATCTTACGATTCACGTTTTCCCCCAAAATTAGAGCTTGAATTAAATGTACTTCTAGTAGCAGGTGGTGGTCTTTGGTATTTAATGAAGATCAGTTCAGGTCTGATGAGTCAGGGCAGAACCGACAGGTGTGGCTTAGTTTTGGTCAGCCTGCCAGCTAGATGCCTTTGCTTGGCCTGGATTTCTGAGTTCATGCTTCCAGGCCTTGTTCGCTACTGAAAGAGTCAGATTAAATATGAGGCATCAGTTATACATACATTCTTTTGAGTTTATGATTTCAGTTGGATGTTAATAACATGAATAACAAGTTACTGATTATGAGTATACTTGTAGAGCATGTTTTATCTTTTCCAGCTTTTTAGAACATTCTAATGTCAGTTAGAAACTACAGCAAACTAGAAAGAATATAGATAGTGTCGTATGGCCTGTGTCTGTAAGCAGTAGATCTGTGTTTGTTTCTCTTTCTTAGGTCAATGTACAGAAAGACCATCTGTCAAGATCAGTAAAGGCAGTACAAGCTCACCTGCAATGTCAGATTCAAAGAAAAGAAGTGGAAAATGATGAATTAAAAATGAAAGTGCAGGTAAACATGTTTCAGTATATGTGGAAAAAAATGAGCAAAGCCTTACTATGGTCCAAGTTTAAGTTAGATGTGAGAATTAAATCTTGAAGCATCACTTGAAGTCAAACTCTTGGTAAAAGAAAAATCATATACAAGTAAAAATCATTAGCATTTATATTTTTGCAGTTTGCCTGACCACACTATCTTAGTTGCAGGGTGGTGGTTTTTTTTCTTCTTTTGTCAACTGACAGCTCTGCTGAAGAGAGGTTAAGCACCCATAGAAACACTTGCACTCACCGAACTGTGCTCTCTAGAAAATAGATACCGATCCTGAGGTAATCTCTGTATAGTCTATAGAAAGAGATAGGCAAGTCTGCGGCATGAGGTTCTGCTGGAAGATAAGGGTGATGAATCACCACTTCTTTGTTTTTATTGACTGTGAAGGAATCAATAAACCTCTTAATGCTGACTGAAGGAGAAACTGTTAAGAGTAATGCCTAACCTCACTTTAAGGTAGGTGGAATTGTTTGCATTTTCCACTCTAAAAAGCAAGAGGTAAATTTGGGCATTTGCATTGATTACTGGATTTAGAACAAGGTCGTGTGTCAGAGGCTGGAACTGTATGTGGCCTCAGATTTCAATATTTGAAACTTGTCAAGAACATGGGCATGAGTGAGAAAACACTGGCCAAAAAATAACGTATTTCTAATTTCCAACCTTTTTTTTACTAGCATACATCCCCTGTTAATCATATTATTTAAGGCTGTTAAAGCATCTGTAGCAACTCAGCTTCAAAAAGTCATGTATGTCCATATCTGTATAAATACCTCATGTTTTCTTCTGAATAGAAATTGCGTTCTTGTTCTACCTTGTACAGTTACAGAATACCAACAATATTTCATTAGTTAAAGTAACTTGATCTGCTACTGTATTTTCATTCAATCTTTATTTAAATGTTTTGTTTGTTTGCTATTAAGAAAGTCCTATAGTCAGTTGCTAGCTTAAATCCTGGTGATGATTTCATGAATATCTGGACAAAAGCTTTTGAAAGCTTAGCATTACCCTTATGAAATTAATTCTCAATTTGAATTTACTTCAGCCACTGAATAGTGCCAGTAGCACTTACTCTTAGTGTGATTGTGACCTCCTGCGGTTGTAACAGGGGATAACAGTTGTTTACTTATACCAGCAACTAAAGAATGTACATAGACTCAGACTTTGTTTGCTCTATTTACTGCAGGTGTTCTTCCCCCTCTAAGCCACTGCTTTGTTTATTATATATTATATGCCCTATCAGCATCTATATATGAAAACGAGTTCCTGTAAATTTAAATTTTTTATAATTTCATTTTTTGAAGTAATACTTTTCCTTTTTGTTGAGTCCCAGTACCTGGGACCACCTTTGACTTGGAAAACTATATGCATTTTGCATTGATTGCGGAAAAGTTTTGGGGCCATTAGCAGGAGCTATACTGACAAGTATCGTCTTATGTGCATAATATGTGTATGTGCTAGAACGTGGCAAATAGTATCTTGAATAAGGGTGGCACATTAATGTAGTCAGTAGGTAAATGGCGTGTCTTTCTGGTCTTCATTCATGTAGAACATAATTGTCAGACCGAGACTCAAATGTAGGAAACAAATGCATTAAATGTTCTTATAATTAGGTTTTTTATCAGTGACTTAAGACAAATTTTACACTGCTGGTCTACTTACATTGCTGTAGTTTGGCAGAAGAATAATAATAAATGGAACTTGTAGTTGTTGTTATGAAAGCGGTTGTCTACTGGTAGCTTGGTCATGTTTTTGATAAACTGTAGCACCTTAAATAATCTCATATGAGATTCATCTTGATGAAGAGTCTAGTATTGCTTTTCCTGTATATCATCATATAGTGTTTTAATGTCTGGTCTCTTTCTTTCCCTTCAATAACAAGGGATATGATGACTTTCATATTTTTCATCTACAAGTTAGAGAGGACAGCTTCCTGGATTGGAAGGAATCAGTACACTCTCTTCATCAGAGTGGTATAAAAATCTAGTTGGTCAGAAATATTAACAGCAATAGGAAACATAGTGTAATGACAGTTGTAGAATCCAGCTCTTATCTACTACATAAGTGGATATCACTAGTAGTGTCATTAAGGTGATACTCTTTTCAGAAATCAGCCACTAGGGATGATGAAACTGTTTTTACTTTACTTATTATAAATGGATTTAACATCACGCCTTCCACATTGAAATTCTGCGGTCATTTCCAAGAGCACAGAGCAATGGTTAGGTTGCTGTTTTCCCCCCTACTCCTGGCTGCTTCTGGAACACGCACTCTCTTCTCTTGTCATCTTTATAATGAGCTTTCCGACATGTATTTTCTCTTGCCTACTACTGTGCATATAGAATCACAGAATGTCAGGGGTTGGAAGGGACCTCTGAAGATCATCTAGTCCAGCCTTCATCCCAGCACACCTAACCACTACACCACAGCCTCAAGCACTAGATCTACCTTTTTTTTAAACGCCTCCAGGGTTGGTGACTCCACCACCTCCCTGGGCAGCCTGTTCCAGTGCCTCACATTTGAGATACAAAGACATTACGAAAACAGATTAAAAATGTAATTGGTATCACTCATTGTGTTATGTCACAAAATGGTCAGTAAGGTATAGAATTTGAAAAAAGTTGATGTTTGATTATGCTGCAGATTCTAGAAAAGAAAATTGCAGATTGGAAACTTCAAGTTGGTGAATACAAGCACCAGATGCTAACCTTAAAGGAAACAAGTGAGCAAAAGAATGCTGCTCTGAAAAAAGCAGTCAGGTCCCAGAAACAAAGAGCTCAACATTTTGAAGCAGCTGTGGAAAATCTAATCTTCAGAATAAGAGAACATGTGAGTGACTATGCTGTGAGCAATGTTGTGCCGTGTTGTTTTAAACTGAACAATTGGGAGACCCTCACCTGTGGAAAATACTCTTAGATGTGTTGCCGTCGTTTTGGATATGCCAGTATTAAAGATACATTTTTCCAGTTAGTATAGAATCATAGAATGTTAGGGGTTGGAAGGGACCTTGAAAGATCATCTAGTCTTGTTTGATCTTTGTGAGTAGTGGATCTTTAAGTACGTTTAGCAGAACTTTTGATGTGTTGTAGTCACACTGTTGTTTTCTGGTGTAGTTTCAAGATAGCATATGTTGGTTAATTATCAATATTTCTTGGAGGCACTTTACCTAACGTTGCGTTTCTTACTTAAGTTTTTTTTTTATTCTGAAAATATTTTGGCATAATTTTATTTCTGTACTAATCTATGTAATCTGTATGTAGTAGAGCTGTATTGGAGACTGATATTTTTCTTGTAAGAAAAGATTTTATTTTTAAATTTTGAAATATTGTTGTATTCTACAGTTGATGCGCAGTGCCAGTGTTTAACTGTGTCTCTGCCTTGAAAGTAAGTCTGTACTTGGACTTTAATTTTTTTAAATGTTGGTACTTCTGTTTATTTTGAGACAGGACAACACTTCCAATGCTTTGTTCTAGGGAGATCCAGTAAAGCCATTTTATATTAAATAACGCTTGTGTTTTGAAAAGAATTGTACAACTAGATGGCATTCCTCAGTGACATTCTTTTGTTACATAATTTGTAATTCCTGTATTCTCTAGGAAGTCAAATTGTCTGAGATAACGTCAGCTTCCGATGTCTGGAAAAACCAGCTTGATAGGGTGGTTAAAGGAAAGAGGATATTAGAAATTCAAACAGAAGATCTTAAGAAGTAAGTTAAGCTGTGGGTCCTTTTTTTTTTTTTTTTGCTTCTGTAGTCACACTGTGTTGAGACTTAGTAGTCTAGTACTGTGAAAGCTTCATTTCCTCAAACAAACAGGGAACACACTTTTCCCTGCATAGTGGCCTCATTGGCCAAATTTTCCCTTTAGCTACTGTGCTGCTTCCTCAGAACCACTTAGTTAGTAACTGACTCAACAGCTTGAGTGTTAATTCTTGTGTCTATTGCAGTACAGAAGATTCTTAGGCTTCTAGTTTCTAGTTCAGACTAATGATAGGAAAATTCTTTCAGTTCCACTTATGTCTCACTCCAGTAGAGGATAGAGAAGGGTTCCTCACAGATGTGCATTTGCACAGTTTATTCTTGTAAGGAAAAACAACACAAAATTGTCCAACCTTATTCAAACTATGCAACCAAATATTAATGGACATGAAGGATACATTGCTTTCTTTGGCAGTGACAAATACCCTTTTGCCTTTTCTGTTGGTAGAAATATGGACTCAAACAAGCAGAAGAAACTGGTAGGTGCCTTTATGCTAGGTCTAAGGCAGAATGTTTATTTTCCGAAGAACTTGATTGATTCTGAAATATTTAACAGCTCAGATTAAATAGGCTTGACTGTTTTGTTTTTGTTTCAGAAAATCTGCCATTTCTGAAAATGTTGTCAGCATATTTTAAAATGTAACAGGAGTGCAGGTACTTAGTGTCAGTCCAGAAATCTGTCTAGCCCACTGTCAGTCCAGTGTAGATAAGGAGACATCTAGGAAAGAATAAGAAAAGGGAAACATCTATGATACTTCACTTGAGAACTCATTCTGCTTCAAGCTGTTTTTGTCTGGTTTTGTTTTACTAAAAATCTCAGTCTTTTCTTGAAATGCACCTTTCTAACAAGACTTGTTCTACTAGGCAGCGTATGACTAAACAGCAGAACAAATTGTATTGTTTAACTTCATTAACATGAAAAGCAAGTGGTGAGGGATAGCACGATTTGTTGCTTTTAGTAATGGAAAGTGCCATTCCTAAACTGGCTGTGGAATGCGCTTGGTAGGACATTATCTTATAGAACCTATAAATTCAGTATAATTCCATTTTGTAGAGTATATGTATGCATAGTTGTGTTGGAAGTATGCTTGCGTGTTCTAGATAGTGAATATATTTAACTGAACTAGAACCTTTTCTTTGGTGTACCACCTTTTTTTGGATAGTTTCTTATTTCAATAGATACTGCTGTCTTGGAATGCTTTATTGTATTCTCTAATTATTTTTTTTTAGTTAGTAAATAAGAACAATGAAGGAGTATGTGTTAAGATACAATTTAATTTGCATAGTGAGAGTTTTGGTAGCATTTTATATTATGCAAAAGTTCTTGCCTGTCTGACAAGGCAGATCACAAGCCTTTGGGAAGACCTGAAAAGAAAGGAGGAATGGAGAAGAAACTGGGATGAGGAAATTCTTGGACAGCTAAATTCTGTTAACTCTGAAAATGAAAAGATTTACCTTGAAAATGAACAATTAAAGGTGAGATAATTTTAAATCTTCGTCGAATGGCTCTGCATTTATGGTATATTAATGAACTAACCACATTAATTCCCTTTGGGCTTTTGGTCTAGAGGTCCCAAACCTGCAGAATAAATTTTGCCATCCATGTTTTTTACAGCAAGTGAAAATGAGAAATTGGCAGTTTATTGGTGGAAATCTATGGGAAAGCTAGGAATAGGGTTGTCTCATCATCTATCTGCTTAACCAGGATACCATTTATTTTACTGTCAGTAGCTATAAAATTGCTAGAAATTATTCTTTCATGTTTGTAAAACTTTCTTTCAAATTAAAGAACAGAGTTTAGCTCAATTATTAATTTAAATTTTAAAAGGGTTTAAAGGTTTTATATTTTATGTATCCTCCAAAGTAAATGTTCTCATGAGCTGGCAAATGCACTGTGGGCTGTTGTTTTTGTTTGACAGGATAAATAGCTATGGCACTATTTTCTAAGGCCTGCAAGTCACTTGCTTGAAATATCATATTGTATATTATGCTATTTTAATAACACTTACAATTTTTATGTTTTCCATGCTTTAACCAAGGCTTCCCTTGCTACACTGGAAAACAGTACTGTTTCTGTTGAAAAAGAGCTGCTAAATCTTCAAGAAACGGCAAAGCTGCAGGAAAATCTCGTTGAACAGTATAAAAATCAGGTGACTCGCATGTCTGAAATGTTCAAGTATGGTTTTTAAATTTGTAAACAGTTTTGAGGAAATGATAAAGGTCTTGTTTGTAATAAACCAGATTTATTATGGTGATTTTAATACTGTCGTAACATTAGGCCTGATAGAAGAGAGTGCCGTTACAAACCATATCCAGAAATAGTCTCCACACGATTCCGAGTACGTGTAATCCTCACTGAATTGTGGGAAGCCTGGTTGCAGCTAGCTCATTGCATGCTTGCTTAGAAGAGATTTGTGTTGTAAGAAGTGAGTTGGCAACCCAATAATCTATATTTAAAAAGTAAAATTTGAGTCTGATGTCTTTAGTGGACATAGCCAACAGTGTTTTACCTCTCCTTGGTTGTATCTGTTTCTGCAGTCCTAAGAACAGTAAACTAGGATTCAAGTTCTACGGCGGGAGTCTTTCTATTTAAATTGGGTAGCTTCACATTGAAAATACAAACAAAACATATAAATCAGGTTTAATATGGGCTTTTTATCAGTTCCTCTTTTTATGTATTTGATTTTATTCACAGAGAAGAAATTGTAGAACATTGATTCAAAGTTGTGTATATTTCTGCTGTAGTATAGACATCATTTCACTGACCGTCTTCACTGAAATCTTTTAAAAATCATTGACAAGAGAAAAGACATGATAAAAAATCTAAGTACGACTAGTATGCCTTGTTTGTGGAACGCATCACCACAATTAAAGTCGTTGCCAGCTTCAGGACAGATGTAGTTCTGGGGCACAGGCAGCCTTCAGCAGTGAGCAGGCCCAAAGTCCCTGGCTCACAGCTGTGGGGACTCCGGATGGGAGCTCTCCGTGATTCTTGGTATCTGGGAAGAGAAGGGCGAGTCATGCTGGCTGCTTCTGTGCCACAACTGGAACTCATTCTCCATTGTTGGAAACAAAATGTTGGTATCAGAGTGTTCTTGGCCTGGTTACTCTCTTCTATTTGTTATGATGAGTCGGATAATGAAAGTAAGTGGCTTCAGATAGTGACAAAAGTTGAGATTCTATTTAGAAATCAAAGGTTTTCTCTTATGCTTCGTACTAGTGATTCTACCTTTTCTATATTTAAAAGAAACACCTTGCAAATGTATGTGAAAAAATATATGTTGTCCTAGGTACAAGAATTACAAACAGCAGTAGAAGAATTGAAATCCAGATCTGAAACAGTCTTAAGTGAAAACAAAATAGTAACAGAAGGGCAATGCTTAGAAGTACACAAGGTAAGTTTTGCAGTAATAAAGCACATTTCCAAGCGTTTCTGTAGGGCATTGATCTTTCCTACGTTGTGATCTACTTACTAGAAGACACAAAGTACTGTCTCTTTTCTTTTTCCACGTATAAAATTTATTTTTTAATTCACTGAATATTTTACGAAGTCTTACTTGTGAGCTGGTGGTTTTTTTGGATACTACACAGTTGCAAACAAGTGAGAAACGGTTCTTAGAGTAAAGGTTAATGAGTTGGGCTGCTATTTTAGAATTCAAGAATTCTCTTAAAATGTGATTTTGTTGTTGATTATTTTAAAGCTAGATCTCTAGACAGAACAGCTGTGAGGAAAGCAAACTTACTGTAAGACTGCTTTGCTTGTTTTAACTGGCAGCTAAAACTGAGAATCCACACTGAGATGAGTTTTAAATTTTTCAGCAGATGGAGCTGAATACTTGAACATAGCACATTCTTAAGCATCAGAAAACAATACAAAAATTGGTACAAAAATCAATTTCCTCAATTCCACATCTTGTCAAAATACATGGTCTTTTTAGTGATAAAATGAAGCAGGGACAAGTTTTGCATTGCCTGCAGTGTTCTTTTTTAGACAGCAGAATTAGTCCTCATCAGAAGAGCCTCTTAGATGTTCAATTTATTTCATACGAACTTTATTTTTCCATGTTTGAGTTGTAGAATGGAGAAACAAAATTCTTATCCCACAAATTATATTTTATGGCTCTGTGTGTGGCTTCAGATGACATTAGGTATTGCCCTCTTTTCAAACTGCAATAGTTGTATGTTCAAAATTTTTCCCGTAGGTTATTTAGTGTGTCTATATGCTATCTCACAAAATACATTGCAATGAAAATAAGATACAAGTGGAATATTGTATTATGAACTGCTAACACTTGCGTAATTTTGTAAATGTTCCTTATGAACGTTACTGAATGAAATACAGTCAGAGATGGAAGTTTCTCCAATGGTGAACCTGTGACTTTGTCAGTATTTTCTAAAAGAGGTGATATTATGCAACTTGTGTAGAATTTCAGATTTATTACTCATGTGAACACCATTAAGTATTACAACAATTAATTTATGGTTTTATACTTACGTTTTTCTCCTTTGATGCTATTATGCAGGTGAGGGACAAAATAGAGCCTGAGTTAAAGGAGTTAGAACATGTTTGTGACTTGCTGAAAGCAGCTGAGAAAAAGCAGCACGAGTATCAGGAAAAGCTTATGTCCTGGGAAACGATCCATGCACAGAAGTGCAAAACCCGTAGGGAGCTGCAGCTTCAGTGCTTAGAATATAGTGATTTTTAAAGATAAATGAGAAATATTTAGAAGAACCTATCTGGAACATTTTTTTACCATTAGTGTGTGTGACAGTTGCGTGGTTTCCTTTGTTATTTGCTTCATAAATCAAAAGCTTCTTCTGTAAGTATAAAACCATTGCCAAGTGTATTTATGTGAATCCAGTATGTGACAAGACCAGTTACTTTTAAATGCTGTATCTTTTAAGCGAGTATATTCTTGATCGCTTTGAACACTTATGTCCTGATGTGTGTTTCAGAATTCTTCCCTGGAAATAAATGTGCAAGTCTAGTTATTGTTTGTATCTAGTGGAATAATTTCATTGCACATTAGGTTTTGTTTTAATGTCTAATTTATAAACCGGACAATATTTGCTCAGATAAATAGTCATAAATTATGTTGTTGATGACGTGTATCTTTAACATTTCAATGATTACATTGCATTGGTTGATAAAATATTAAAAAATATATGCTTTAATAGGATCATTTCTATTTTTAGCAGAATTTTAGCTCTACTGCTTGTGTTTTCTCTGAATATGAATATTCCTCAGCTTTGTTTTTTCTGTGACACCCGTCTCAATGTCAGCCCTAAGTTTTGGGCTTTGTGGTGTTGTTCTCTTTTCTCTCTTTTTTAAAAAATGTGCTTTTGAGTTAGAATATTCTGCTAGGATAGATGACAACGGTGTTTGAATCAGTAAGTTTGCAAAGAGATTTAATCTTCCTGTGTCAGTAGGAAAACTTTACCTGAAACACAATTAGTCTCAGTGTTCCTGTAGACTTTATATGCTTATTAAAATATAGCTCTTGATTTAGTTTTAAATTTCTTGTTGAGATGATTATTATAGCATCAAATTTTGTGTTTGTTTGTATAATTTTAACTCTTTCCTGGAATACTCATAAGCTCATAAATCCCATCTTTGCTTACCAAAGTACTTAAGCAAAAATTAATTTTGTGGTACATATATAAAATGATATATGTAATTTTAATTAAGTACATGTTTTCCTGAATAAATGCAAAAAAGTTCTCTTAAGTATAGTGATGTTCAGGAATATAATCACCAGTTAATTTCAGCATTAAATCTTAGTGACATTCTTTAGGATTCTGACCCTCAATCCTATGACCAAAATTTAGGAAAATTCCTTCTGAAATAACTGGACCATATGCAGAAACCCTCTTCTGTGTTCAGCTGGACCCAGCCCCGAGTCTGCCACCCTTCTGCTGAAGGTTTCTGCTGGTACCAAGCCGCTGGCTGGGCTGCCTGTGGTTTACCTGAGCAGAATCAGCCAGGTTAGCTCAAGTTACTGAGTGGAACTGCTCGGGGTAGCCTGCTGAGGGCTGGAGGTTGTCCCTTCAAGAACGACGCCAGCCGGCTGCTGCTGTGGCTGTTCGTTACTCATTGGCTGTGGATGGGTGCTAGCAAGAGCAATAGTCTCACCACTACTGTCAAGAGATTTGAAAGACAACGTAGGAGTTTGTCAGTCTGGCTGCTGGGCAGGGGAAGACAGTTTGGCTTCTTGCTTTCTTCAGATTCTTCTGCGGATATACCTCTTTTTATGAAGTTCCTTGTCTTTTTTGATGTTCTCTACTTTCTGAAATTCTTTGCCAGTGCTACACTGTTATTCTGTGATAACTGCATGTAGATGTGGTATTATTTTTATACTTCCCTCACACTACAGTCACAGGAACTAATTTTTGCTGGAATCTAAAGCTTAAGAGTCAAAGTTCACAAGGAAATACACTCAGCCAACTCTGAATACACACAGCTGCATGAGCAGCATATGGGGTTTGTTAGGACTTCACTCTTTCAGTCTTAAAACACTCACTCAAAAGTTCGGTGTGCTACCGTGCTGCATTTTGTTTGTTTTAAATACAAGATAATGTTTACTTGGGTATAATATAGTAACTGAAATAATTGAAATTACAGTTAGATTGATTGGATTTTAACAGGCAAGCTTGCTTTACTCTCTAATACCCTGTATGTAGATCTCTTCAACTAGAAACGAATTGTCCTTTTCACTGGAGGAAGACAGTGTAACTGCCATTGGCAGTTATTCCTTAGAAGAAGAAAACTGGAACATTCAGAAGAAATACGAAGATCTTAAAAGGTAACTTTAAAAAAAATCTGACTGCAATAAATTCCTATGCTTTTCTGATATTGTGAATTATAATCGATTAATCTGTTTTGCATAAAGGCAATTAGAAAAAAAGGAATTACAAAATGAAGAACTTGCTTGTCGGCTCAGAAAAGAAGATGAGAGTCTTCAGTGCAGCACATTGCAGCTTGAATTGAAAATTGCAGAATATAATGGATTAACTAGACAACTGGAATCTGCTTTGGAAGAAGGGAGAAGAATGGTATTGATGATTTAATACATCTCTTAATCTTGTTTGCCATTTTCTAGTTAAAACATGTTCTTGAGAAGAAAAGATGGGATAAGAGTGTTTTGCACATAAGGAGCAATACTAAAATGTTACTGAGAGTTTCTGCATGTTTAAATTTCGATTTCACCATTCAACTTTGTAGAATTCTAATTCTATTGAAATTAATGACAAAGTTCAGTGGACCAGCATTTCTCTATCATTTATTTGGTGGCAAATTAAAATGCTTAAACTACCTAATATTAAATCCCACACATATGGCAAAAAAAGTTTCTGAGGAAAAGCTTAATCTTGCCTTTTTCTTATTTTCTTTGGAATAGGCAGCCGGCAAGAACTTCAGTGTTGAAATTCTTCTCATTTGAGAGGAAAGCTTTGCACACTTTGAATATTAAGCAGATTTGTCATTTGTGGAAAGGATGCAAACAGTAAATTAAATGGAAGAGAAAATGGAGAAATTTAGATTGCAGTGAACTGTATTAATCAGGAAATCTGTCGCGGGTTAGGGCTTGGCCGGCCACTAACGTGGACAGATTCTCTCTAACCCCCTCTTCCCCCTCAAAAACGGGAAGGAAAAGGGAATGAGGCAGAGAGACTTACAGGTTAGAAAAGAAAAACTAGAACAGCTTTAATGAAACAATAATGGATATAATAGTGAAATGATAAAAATTATAGAAATAAAGAACTATTTACAACTATATATATATTAGCCTGATATCGAACTCAACTC